CGGTGGCGGCGACGAGGGAGAAGAAAGAAGGGGATCGTCCGGCGGCGGTGGCTGCGGCGGAGGCTCCTCCTCCGGAGGCGGCGGCGGGGGCTGCTTCTCCAGCGGCGGAGGCGGCGGCGGCTCTGGCTGTGGAGGTGGTTCCTCAGGGGGAGGCGGCGGCGGTTCCAGCTGCAGCGGCGGCTCCTCCGGGGGCGGCTCTGGCAGTGGCAAGGGTGTCCCCATCTGCCACCAGACCCAGCAGAAGCAGGCGCCTAGCTGGCCATGCAAATAAGCCTCCCTCCGCGAAGGCCCGGAGGCGAAGGAGCAGGAAGTGGTCTCCGTGCTGCGCGCAGATGAGCTTAGTGCTCTCATAATATTGCCCTGAGGTTTAAGAACCCTTCATGTATTGCTAACCTGGAAGAGGCTTTTGAGCTCACAAGCTGCGTCTTGTTCTGCAGTTTTCTCTCCTTGGTTTCTGTAACACTACCTCCCAACCCCAATGCATCCTCAGCCAATAAATTTGCAATTCATGAGAATCTGTGTGTCTTCAAAAGTCTTTGTGGTTGTAGCTTCCAAATTCCTCTATTCCTCTCCGCCTCCACCATTCAATCATCCACACATTCATTGAATGAATGGGCGTTAATCTGTTGGGAAGAGGGAGGGAAGCCAACCAGATGGGAGTCCTAATTATTAGTTAAGGAGGGATGAATTGCTTATAGCCTATGGTCAAAGTGAAAAGTGTGCACTCTGGTTCATGCCTTAAAATTGTGAGCTGATTCCCTCAACATGAAGATCATGGGAAGAGATTTCCGTAAATACCCCCTAGTGGATTGAGTAGCACTCTGAGTTCAGTGTTTTTCTAATTGCAGGAGTGCTTTCAAAAGACCTCAAAACTCAGTACTACTGAGTTGATTTCGTCTTAAAGCGGCCCTCTATCTGACTTCCCCTGTTACAAATCCTAGTGGGAGGACATGCCCAACTTCCTGCTGCAGAAGCAAAGATGAAGATGATGCCTTTGGTTAGCAGCACAACTCTCCCTGTGTCAGCTACTAAAGCTCCTCTGGGAAAATTTTCTCTGACAGTTCAAAGCCTGGACTACACAAGGCTTGAGAGATTTTCCAGGAAGGTTGCCCATAAGGAACATCAGCTTATGTTGCCCAGATTTGTAGGAAAAGAATAAGTGGGCCAGGTACTTATGAGCCTCTACAGTGTGTGAGACACTATACTAGGTACTTTTAGGGACAAGAGGGAGTAGAAGAGCTAGTTTACTTCCCTAAAGGCGCTTATGCCCAGGTTTAGGAAAATACAGCAAAATGCATGAGTGTAAAAATGGTATGGTGGGGCATCTGACTTAACTTCACTAGTGGGAGAGAAAATTATCATCTGTGTATCACCCAAATCTAATTCCTATGAAGTATTGGTTAGACATACTTCCTCCAACTTATTCCACCGTTCTGACTCCAGGTGACCTCATCAGTGTTTACTTCTGTTAGTTTAAAAAAAAAAAGTTGCAATGGTCACACATAATTCATAGAAAATGCTCGAATTTATGAGTTTATTAGAAAAGTAACAGCTCAGTATCAGAAGTGACTCAGGATAGGTTTCTTCAGTCAGGACAACTTTTCAGGTCTCTTCCTAACTCTTGGTCTCTCAGCCCTCAGCATCTCAGACCTTCAACTCTTCGGCCCTTTAGGCATCTTGGGGGCAGCCTAGCTTCCACTCTGTTAGGGCTGGTATTATAACATCTATGCTCAAAGGTATCAATTCTTCTTCTGTCATCCTTATTCATTATCCAGCTCTCAGATGCATAACAAATGATCTGAAAGACCATGGCCTGAATTAGATACACCTAAGTCCTCAAACTGACATTATTGCTCATCAATAATTTGGAGAGGTCTCAAACTACAGACTTTTCCACTGCAATACGCCTACTGATTTTGTAATGCTAAGCTAATTATTCAAGAAGCTGGACTCAATGAAGATGAATGTGGCATTAAGATTAGAGGAAGATTTATCAATAACTTGCATTATGCAGATGACAAACCCTCTCTTGCTAAAAGTGAGGAGAACTTGAAGAATCTGTTGCAAAAGATCAAAGAACACAGCCTTCATTGTGAATTGAATATCAACATCAAGAAAACAAAAATCCTCAGCACTGGACTGATAGACAGCATCATGACAGATAGAGCAAAGATTGAAACTGTCAATAACTTCATCTTACTTGGACCCACAATCCACCCCTTTGGTACCAGCAGTCAGGAACAAAGCAGACTAGACCCAAAGAAATATATGCCAAAAAACATCATAATCAAACTGCTTTAAACCAAATAGGAAAAAGAAAGTTTTCAAAGTAACAAGACAGAAACAACACATCATCTATAGGAGATGATTCTAATGACTTTGTATTTCTCACCAAAAACCACGAAGTCCAAAAAGAAGTGACAAAATAAACACTGAAAGAGGAAAAAATTGCCAACTCAGATTTCTATATTTAATGAAAGTATCCCTCCAGTAACAAACATGAAAAAAACTTTTGCAAATGAAAGAAAATGAAAGGAATTTGTCACCAACAGACTTCCTAAATGAGTTTTATCAAATTAAAAGAAGACAATTTGCAGCATAAGAAACAAAGACAACATAAAGTATAAATTTATAGATAAATAGAACATCCTCTTAATTTTAAAATTTAATTTTGTAGTTAAGGTACAAGTTTAGCTTGTTTCTGGGGTTCTTAATTTATATGTTGTTAGCTGAGACAGTGTCCTTGTCAAGGTTGTGAACCCTGCAACAATGATCTGGGATGGCTGTAGTGATGGTGTCCAGGAGCCTTTGCGATTGAGTTACCACTGCGGCTGTGTGTGCCATGCTGTAGAGTCAGAACCAACTCATAGCTGACCCTCTGGTGGGTTTTCAGAGGCTTTCATTATGCAGATGACACAACCATGCTTGCTGAAACTGAGGAAGACCTGAGGCATTTGCTGCAGAAGGTTAAGGACTGCAGCCTTCAATATGGCTTGAGGCTCAACATCAAGAAAACAGATTCCCACCTTTGGACTGATTGGCAGCATCATGATAGACAATGAAGCGATTGAGACTGTTAACAGCTTTAGTTTTCTTGGATCCACAATCAACACTTGGTACCAATAGCCAGGAAATCAAAAGATAAAGTGCTCTGGGAAAATCTACCGTCAGGGACCTCTCCAGAGTACTAAAGAGCAATGATATCAGTCTGGAGACTAAGGAGAACCTGATCCAGGCCTTGGTCTTCACAGTTACTTGCTATGCATCAGAGAGCTGGACAATAACTAGGGATGATAGAAGAAGAATTGATGCTTTTGCACTGTGGTGCTAGAGAAGAGTATTGAATATATAATGCACTGCTAGAAAAGCAAACCGATTCATCCTAGAGAGGGTGAAACTAGGCTGCTCCTTGGAGGTAAGGATTCTGAAGCTCCGTCTGACATACTTTGGGTATGTTTCAAGTAGGGACCAGTCTTTAGAAAGGGACATCATGCATGGGAGGGTGGAAGGACAGCACAGGAAAGGAAGACCCTGGATGAAATGAATTCATTCAAAGACTAGAGTATCAGGGGTGGGTGTGTTGGAGACAAAGAGTTTGGCTCAGGATAAAGCAGAGTTCAGAGCTACTATACAAAGGGTCACTATGAGTCACAAGTGACTCAACGGCACTCAACAAAAAAACCAATAACAACATATATAATACTTACATGTTGTCATTGTATGCTGTAGAGTGACTATAACTCGTAGGAGCCTCACAAACAACAGATCTGAACTTAGTACCAGCATCATGGTTGCTGCCATGCTGAAGTTCATTATTTTAGTCACTGGGTCAATTCATCTCCCTGAGGATCTTCACTTTCAATGACCCTACCTTTTTAACATAACGTATTTTTCCAAGATAGCATGTCCCAAGTATGTAAGACCAAATTTCACCATCCTTGTCTCTAAAGAACACTGTGATTGCACCTCCTCCAAGATAGATTTGTTTATTCTTTGGTAGTCTATGAAATAATCTTTTGTCATGGTTGTTCTTGTTGTTGTTGTTATGTGCCATCAAGTCACCTGAGACTCAGAGCGACCCTATGTACAACAGACCTAAACCCTGCTCTGTCCTGTGCTAATCTCACTGTCTCTGACACACCTA